TTTGAGTTCATTGTTGTTGTGGGTGTTTTTGGCTTTCGTTTTGTTTTATTTATAGTCTTATAGCAGGTGACCTCTAAGTTTTTTGTGACTGGTACTCTGATTCTCCTGTGACTTCTCTCTTCAAAATCATTACTGAAAGCTCTTAACTACTTCAGAAAATACCATGAACAGGTGCAGACTGAGCCTGCCTCCTTGGAGGGTCTTCGTAGGCCTTCAAGGTCCGCCTGTGACCCTGAAATTTCAACACTAGTGGGAAATAGCGGATAAGGGATCCCATCAAGAAAAGGATGGTTCCCTGCAGATATTTTTCCTGTGCTTCTGCTTTGCTCTCCCAGACTCAGAGCATTAAACCCTCCCCCAAACTAATTTAATTAGAAGAGCATGCATCTTCAGGACAAAATCCTCGTGGGAAGTAAATCATACCTGGACAAATTTGGATAGATTTTATAAAATCCAAGGTAAGAGGCATGATGATAGGTGTCAGGGGCCAGAAAAGACAGATACTTTGTTCCTTTTAATTTTGACCACACACATGATATCCCAGGGAATTCCCTGAATTTTTCCATTGGACTGAATTGGATCCAGACCCTATTTTTGGTTCTGGGAATGTGCTTTGTAGTTGATACTCTGGGGAGCAAGTTAGTCCTTTGGAATCTTTTTTATCTATTTGAAATCCAGGAATTTTTGGTTCTTCTGATGGCAGTTCCTTACAAAGAATGCCATGGTATTCTAAATTGGAGCAGAGGACTTGGCAACCAAGTGCACAACTGTCTTATAAAAGGTATCAAAGCAGATTTGTTTCTCATTTCTCAACTGCAATTAATGCCACACTTAAGAAAGCTTAAAATACCACTTTCCACTATAAATTATGTACCAGTTGGACATAATTGTGACTTTGGATACTTAGATTATTGAAAGAAACTGGGCCTCCTTCATTCAGTTCTTGGTCTCTTTTAAAAATCTCCCCAACAAAAGCCAATTCTTTCCCAGCTGGCTTGTCATTGAACTGAAGCTCACCTTCAATGCTGCCTATGCAGTCCTTAGCAACATGTCTTGCTTGATTTGCTGTGCACTGAAATGCAACCATCCTGCCAGACCAGTGCCCAAGGGCTGCTGAAATTATGAAGCTGTTCACCACCAGACAGGAAGATGACCAAGGTTCTGCCAGGGCACAAAAGAGGTTGGATTGGCACATGCTGCCAGAAGGAACCCCTGTCAGCTTGCCTTTCCCCTTGCAATTCCAAAAATAGCCCCTCAAATACCGTACTTTACATTTCCAAAATATTCTGTAACACCCATAGAAATCTTTAGTACTTTGTATATTTTGGAATCGGTCAAGAAATCCAACTCCCAGAAGAGTAAAAATCAGTCAATAATATAAAACACAGATTTTCTCTAAATTTCTGTTTTTCTGATTATCAGCTCACCTGTCAGTTCATGTTTCCTGGCTGCTCAGTTCTAATACAATGTCCGGCACGTGGTAGGTGTTCAATAAAAGTTAGCTAATGAATAAAAGAAGTATGCAGTTAGCCAAATAGTACACCTGGTCTTATTTTCACCTCAGACCCAAAAGTCAATAAATAATAAATGTGGTCCACCAGCCAGGCTTTGCTTTGATAATTCTTGATTGCTTCTTGCAAGCAGAGGCCTCAAATCCAGAATTCAGCAATCCCAGGTGAGAAGGGAAACCAATCCAGATGAGAGCAAGAGGAAAATGATGGTCAATGACAGAGTTGATGGAAAGTGTGTCTTGACCCATTCCCATTTTGAACACAGTCCCATCCCAGAGTTACAGAGTTACAGGGCAGCCACAGCAGTACTCCTGGCACACCATGTTCCACTGTTCTTTCCTGTGAAACTGACTCTACTTAGCAAAGCTCCAGCAGACAGGATCACTGCTTGAGATGAAGCATGACAAGAACGTAAAACCTTTTGAGGAGACACTTGACTTTCTCTAGTGCTCTATTTATTAAAAACTAATGATAATCATCCTGCATGTTAGCTATGAACTAAAACATGTTTTTGTTTCATGTATTCTGGGAAAAAAAGATAATCCCATTCCTATCTGTCTTGACTGATAGAATATTAATGGCTGAGACACACTCTCCAGGTCTCAGTATTTGTGCTTTGAAGGGTAGGGGAGGAGGTGCGATACACATACTTCCCACATTCCATGGTACAAAACAAAATGCTCATGTGCGTGGCTATGTGTAGGCTCAGTATGAGCTGTGAGATTTGGCTAAACTAGGGAGTGGCAATACTGTTCCCAATATTGTCTTATTGTCTTTGGTTCATGTCTTTGAACATGTCTAGAAGGGCATGATGAGATTAAAGATTTGAAATCCTTACCATAGAAGGAAGACTGGAAATAAATTTTATTTATCACCAAAAAGGGAAGATTTGAAGGAGATTGGTGACTACCCTCAAATACTTGAACACCTAGTGTGTGATCCCATATAGTAGTGCTACAAGTGACGAATGGAGCTCCCAATGAGGCATATCAAGACCGATATAAGCAATAACTGCACCCTGACAGGGGCTGTCCTGAGGTGATGAGTTTCTCAGCCCAGGGGACTTCAAGAAGAAGTTTGATGATTGCTCCTCAGATGTTACCAAGACGTGTCTTCCCTCTCAGACTCCTGCAGTCTGACGTGATATCAAATGGCATGGAGGGCTTACAGGCAACTGACCAAACATTTGCACTGTGTGCTCGTACAGACGGGCACTGCTTTTGTAGTCTGGCAGGTGAATGTGATCTCTCTTGTAATTCATTTGGGAAGTCTTCATGACAAGGTGGAAAATTCTATTATTAGGTGCTGCTTAGAGATAATGGGGTAAGAGCCCAGCTATAGGGTGTGGGAGGCTGTAAGTGGTAAAAACACAAAGACAGATATGGGTGTGCATATTAAATAATCTTACCTGAATAGAAGGCATACTTCAAGAGTGAGAGGAGTTCAGAAACACTGGGTCATCAATAAACAATGAATCCACATTGAAAAGATAGAAAAACAGTATTATTTTAGAGTCAAGTTATTAATCCTATGAGTGACCATCACTACACTTGGCCCCCGCCCCACAGAGTGGTGTCATCACCAGCTCTAAGTTTTTCTTCCTGGTGCCGAGAGTAGGAAAGGTAAGTACAATCCGTGACAGGCTCACATACACTCCCCAAGGTCTGGCTTCAGTGCATATCTCTTCACTGGTTTTCAGATGACTACTGGGCGTTTTGATATACTCTGAAATCAATTTTACTATATATGTCCTTTCTCTTAATTTTTAAAGCAACCTGTATTTTCAATATAATGAACTGATTGTTACCATCTGGTGAAAAATACATTTGCAAGCGAATTTTTGTTAATAAAAAATATTTTACTGACATAAATATCACAGTAAATGCTTTCCCTCCCTAAAAGAAGCCCACATCAGTTTGTGGTGCTGTGTTGTTGTTTTTCAAATGTGTCCATTAAACTAAGAGACTAATTTCCTCTTGAGATAATTATAACAGGAATTATTTCTGATTTACTACTACTGAACAAAGAAATGATCACATATGTCAAGTCATCCAAACCATATGAAGTTTAGGTAGAAGAAAATTGAAGTACATTATTACTGGGACCACAATGCTTTAACTCCATAAAAAGCAATTTCTTTCTCTGAGATCTGGTTTATACTTTTCTTGTTTAAAAAAAAAAATCCCCTCAAGGATAAGTCTAAAGCCTAAAAAGTTAACTTTAATATTCTAAGTTCAGCAATGAAAATAAGACTGACTCCTGGCAATATTAAATTAAAACCCACCAACACCCTTGTTCTGAGACCTTCAAGTAGGATCATGTTCCACTCACATACATGGCAGTTAGTTTTGCTTGAACATGCCCATGATAGTGTCTTCACAGGGCAAGGGGTGTGTTTAACAGGGAGAAACATGCTAACAGACTCAAAACAGAAAAATATTCTCAGGAACACCTCTGCCAACCAAAATAAAAATTTTTTTCCACAAGAAGCAAGTTCCTTGCTGGTTTTGGACCATTACCCTCACGTCATCTGTAGTTCCTGAGTTATGATGACCACACCAAGTTCTGAGAAGGCCCCAGTTGGTAAAACATCTGTCTCTGACCACACCGCCCTACCGCAAAGAACCAGTTATTGAATAACAAAAGAGAAGGGAGTGATTTTAGCAATTTAGAGAAACCACCTCACAAACTTCTAAAACCAGATCAAGTAACTGATAAGTCCTTTCTCTGGTAGAATAGTGGTCTTCACACCAGACCTGGTTATCTGAAAATGAAGACTTTTTTACCATCAATGTACCTCACAGCTGCCCACAGTCTGTTCACTGTGAGAGAAGCAGAGATGCAGCGTCCCCAGGGTCTGATCCTAGTTCAGAAACAAAGGCAAGGCTCCTTCCTCAATTACTTGTTCAGCCCCATTTTCCTCTCCTATCCAAAGAGCACATCTCAATTGTGCTGGTATAGAAAAGTCATCTCTTCCATTTCAAAATGGAAAAAATGTGTGTGTGTGTGTGTGTGTGTGTGTGTGTGTGTGTGTGTGTGTGAAGAAAGAAAGGAGAAACTATGAAACAGCAAAGAGTTGGTAAAAATCATCACCTTCTAAGTAGAAAACCTCTTCAAGGGTAGCAACTTCGAAAGTATCTGAAGGGGGTGAAGTATGATTAATCTCTTGGTCATCAGGAGGTAAAATGTACCTTTAAGTGTCTAAATTCAACTCTAAAAGTATTTCATTAAAAGGAAACTTTCCCTACCACAAAAAATTGAGGGAGAATGACAACGTCTGTGATGTTTGGGTGTCCTCAGTCTGATCTTGGGTTCTGACCTGCCCAGAACTCCCTCCCAGCCCAAGCCATTTCGGATTAGTAAATGCCTGTGGCAACTGCGGGCTGGATGGGGCTTTGTGCAGATGCATTGGGAAGGCAGGTCTTGGGGAACTGTGCAGGAGCAAGTGGCAGATTTCTGATCTCTAGTTTGCATTGATCTTACATTTAGACACAGATTCAGAAGAACAGACACTCCCTTTTCCAGTGCCTTCGGAAAGATTGCCGCTCCGTAGAATGAGTCCCTTCTCCTCCACCCTTAATCTACAGCCCAGCTTCCCCGGGAGATCCTACTTTGATTTCCGATCCTCACCCCACCAGCTGAGCTTGCATTCCTCCTTACAGTCTCTCAATGCACCGGGTGAGCTGAGCTCGTCTGATCTTTCCTCTTGGTCTCTGTGCCTTGAAGGCATCTCTGAAATACCTGTTTTGTTTTTGCCATTCATGTGCGTGGAGATGGCCAATGAGCTAGTCTCTCTGTTTGTGGCCTGCTTCGATATGAGGGGCATTTGGGTGATGGAGCTTTGTGGTGTTCTTGTTTGTGTGCTGTGAGGACTGACCATCGAGTTGTGGTCAATGTACAATGGCATTGGAAAGCGATGAGTGAAGTTGTTCTTTTTGCACAAGCTGGTACCGCCATGGATAGCCTGCTCTGTCATCACATGCAGTGGCACAGCACGGCTCAGGCGCTGGCTGAGTGGAAGCCTTAATTTGGAGGTTTGCAACCCTGCTGTATCCAGGAAACCAGCTGTGTCTGGGGGACTGGATCAGTGCATCCAGCCTGGAGTGGTCTGATTAAACATAGACTCAAGAGATCTTTATTGAAAAAATAAAAGTCAAAACATGCCAATAGCAGAATGTATCATACAAAGCAGGCAAACTAGAGGGCAGAAAGTGAAAAAACAAATTCTGCAAAAGACTGTGCTCACTGGTAGGACAGTTGGGCTCAAGGCTGGGGTTTTTTTTCCCAAGCAAAAGGGAGGCACCACCGCTAGCTAAATTAAAAACCCTTAACTAGCTTAAGGCCCAAAGATCTGAGTTTCCACAGCCAAGCGGCTTGTGACAGGGCTCTAAGCCAATTGCAGGGAAGCTAGACTTGGGTTGCCATGCAGTGAGCTGTCTAGCGAATAGATCCTGCAGTGCCTACCATGCAGACCTACTTGATCTCTTCAGGACTATATTGTAATCATGGGTACACGTGATGCACGTTTCACATTTCCAAGGGTTTCATTTGTTTTGTATTTTTTATTCCTTTTGCTCATCCCACATCCTGGAATGAAGAAGACCACAGCATGACAGTGCAAAAAGGATGCAGGGACTTCAAGCTCTCTTTAAAATGACATTTTTCTTTGTGCTTTTATGTTTCTTATTGTTTTTCTGTGCACTACTGGCTTTCAGACATGCTTTGTTATGGAATTCTTTTCCCTTGTGTCTAATGTACTGAAATATTGTAAGAGTCTTTGTAATGTATACTGTCTCAAGAATAAAATGAAATGTGGGTTTGGGGATATTTGATGGCAGTGTTTGACAGCACTGTTCTAGCTGTATCATTGAATCCTGAATGTATGATGGTGTGTTTAAAGTAGTGTAAAAAGATTTCAGAAAACATGTTTTGAAAAAGACATGCAGAAGGCATGATTCATTTAAACATTTTAAAAGCCCTATTGAGATTCTACAAATTTACTACCAAAGCTGGATATGAGATTCAGTTTTAGAACTCCATGTGTTCTCAGGAGAAAATGATTCTTCCGTGTGGAATTTGTTCCACAGTAAAATAAAGTAACCAAAAGTAAGGCCAGAATCTTTAAAGTGTGCTTTTAACTCAAACATTAGTCCTTTCTAAGTTGCTTTCTTAATTCTTCTGAAATTTCTTTAATTCAGTGTATTATCCTTCAATTGTTTTAGAAATTAGCATATTAGGGTCTTAGGGAGTTGAAAAAAAATTAAATGATCCTTTCTAAGAGCTACCCTAGTGCTCATCAAAAGCACATTCTCTGGAGCGGTCCCTGACACCAATTGAAACCGTAGTTCTCACATCTTTGAACATTTTAAGACAAGGCTGCTTCCTCCACCCGCAATGCACCTGCTCATGGGGCAAGTAAAGTACCCAAAATTTAAGGAAAGGGAGTGGTTGGAAAAGTTCCACAGGTGATTCTAATATCTCTCTGAGATTACTCACACCCCCACTGTGCCCCACCCCTCCTCTCCCTTAGATGAGAAGGATTGATGTAGTGAAACAATCTAAGAAGGAGATGGGGTAATTTTTTATTATATTTAATTCATGTCATTATTAATAATAATTAGATGTATTTATTACCATATAGATTACATTTCACATTTAGTTATGTATATATAAAATTTACCTTGGGCCCAAGTCACAACAGAGGCCTAACCTGAGTCAGAAGTGCATGGAACAGCAACGTAGAGTGGAGTTTTATCAAGATCTAGTGTTTCTTCCAATTCCAATTGGATGAATTTCTCTCATTTCTAAACAGTAAGCCTTCTTAATGTGGAAACCTTAGTGGAAAAGGTAGATTTGAGGAGATGATGAAAATTTAAGCTGCACAATTTAGAATCAACTAGAAGAGGATTTATTAAATGGAAAAAATATGTACTTTTTATTTCAAATAAGCAGAGAAGAAAATTTTAATCAACAAAGTAAACTAACATAAAAAGGGCTTTGGTTTTTCATGAATCAGGCCTCTGGTGACTCTGTTTATGCAAACAGTGTTTATCCACCTGATCATTGTTTCATAGCTTTGATGTGTAGTATCTCTTTATAGGATGCAATTTTGAGCCTCAGTCTGCACCTTACACGCAATTAGGCAAGTATACCTACTGTAATTGTTATCTTTTACTTATGTGATCGGTATGCTCAATTTCCTTCACAAAATAAATGGCAGTAGCTTATTTTATGTCAATAAAATTGTCTAATTGTCATTCAAATCCAATTATAACATCTTCTCAAATACTTAGAAAAATGGAAAAGATACCAGTATTTTAATTGTATACCTCAAAGAAGATGACTTGTTAACTGGTTTTCTTATGAGCTCTGAGTGTGGGTAAAGGGACAGTCAGACCAACTGCTGCAGCGTTTGCAGTGTTTTAAATGGAGCCCTTTTTTGGTACTAGCCTATTAAAAGAGCCGTATTTTCTTATCAATGTCAATTTTGCTTCCTATTTCTCTCTCCCATGCCTTTCACTTGGAATGACAACAGTTGACATTAAAAAGCTGTTGGCAGGTATGAAATAACCTTATTCTGTTACAAATAGAAAGACTGAAGTGCATGTGAGGTGACTCACAGGTTCCGTAAATCAGCAGTGACATCTCTCCAGAGTGTTATTGGTAGGCGGCGTTTAGAGCTCGGGGCAGAACAATGTATACAAAGACATCGTTCTGTCTGCCCCTAATGTCCAAAATACCTACTGCTCCAGCAAAATGTTTTACATGTTAGTGTTAGGAGTAACATGCAAACTGCATTTCTATGTTATGAAGGAAGCAACCTACCTTTATGTCCAAAGTCGCAATCACTCATGAAAATACATTTATATTGCAGATAGATTCGCAGCTTTTTTGACCTTTCACTAGCACTGAGGACATTTTCAAAACAACTAGATTTTAGCGCTTCTGCGGAAGGAATATTTCCTGGTTTCACAGTGTGTTTTATCCCTCCTTCATCTAGGACTCTAGATCCTAGCCTCCCCGCCTCAGGGTTACACAGGCACCTTAGCGCGTCCCTCTCCCTTTATGTCTCCGGTGTACTGTTCTGCCAGTCACCGGGTGAAGGGACTTGCACCTTCCAAACTTGATGCCACTTCACTCCCGGATCACCCAGTTGGGAGTGCAGTCTGAGCCAGGTAACCCCTGCTGAATCGGTCGTGTGTCCTCCGCCTGCTTCTGGGTGCAGAGAGTACCAGCTCCCAGGATGTGGCCCTGTCTGCTCACTCACGGCCCCTTCTGGCCCTGGACGCCTCCCTCTTGCATGGCAGCATGAAAATGGGACACAGCACTCCTCAGCCGCCCAGGAGTCTGTTATGGTGTTGGGTTCTTTGGGTCCGTCTTAGTAACCCCACTGCCTTCTGTTGTTCCCAGTGGCCTGGTTTGCCTTTGACCCTGGCTCGGCACACTCTGACATCATCTTCTCCAATGACAACCTGACTGTGACCTGCAGTAGCTACGATGACCGAGTGGTGCTGGGGAAGACCGGCTTCTCCAAGGGTGTCCACTACTGGGAGTTAACTGTGGATCGCTACGATAACCACCCCGACCCTGCCTTTGGTGTGGCTCGCATCGACGTGATGAAGGATGTGATGTTAGGAAAGGACGACAAAGCTTGGGCAATGTATGTGGACAATAACCGGAGCTGGTTCATGCACAACAACTCGCACACCAACAGGTACCCTGCAGCCCCCAAACCAAGCCTTCTTCACGTTGGCTTCTGGTAAAGAATGAGAGCCCAACCAAGTTCAAAGGCCCATCAAATAGACAACATTAGGGAAGCTGAGCAGGCGGTCTTCATTAAGTGGCACAGGAGTTCTACTGGTGTTAACTGAGTCCATCCTAATGGGGGTTTTATTTTTGTTTATTTGTTCTTTGCATAATAGCAGAGACATGAGCTCTTTCCTAGGCACTTCACTGTAACCGTCCACCCCTGGCTGGAAACTCATAATCCACATGCTTATCCATTACAGGAAAACATTTCAGGATTCTAAAATGTAGCCTTATAACATACAGAAAAGCAGTTTTGGACAATCTAATTTAGTTTTACTAAACCTCGATTTTTAAATCCACCAAATTAGGATAATAATATTTTTCCATGCAGGAGTGTTCCCAATTAAATGGAATGTGCAAAAATGCCTCACATCAGAGGCACCTGGAAACAGAAGCCATTGTTCTTCTTCTTATGATTATTTTCAATACCACTGCTCAGAATAGAAGCCATTTAATAAACTAAATCTTATGGATGCCAATTTGGATAGCTTTGTACTTGAAGAACTCTCATAATTATGCAGACTCAGAGCACCTGGTTTGCTGGAGAAAAAGAACATAGTGATCTCCTTAGGTTTCCCTCTACCACCAAAATGTTACCAGTTATAAATTAACCCATGCTATAATAGTTTCTCAAGACTTCCTTTTTCATTTGGTTTGTGTTTTCTTCCTCAAATGTATCTTTCACAAATTTCCTAGCTAGATAAGGGTCTTTCATGGACCCTGGTCCTCCTTATTCTCAATGATTTCCTCAGGATACCTTCTTCTTAGTGTCTCTGAAAAAAAAACCCATCAGATCAAAAGGAAAGTGGGGAAGACCGTGGTAGGATAATGGGCTCCATTGTTTCAACCTTTTCTATATGCTCACTGCTGCCCCTTCTCTAGCCTGCAGGCCTCCTAGGGCCTCTGCTTCCTGTTCCCGTGGATGTTTTCCATACACCTCCATGCTGGTGTGTGTTACTCACTGTCACTCTAAGTGAGCACACACACCATCTCAACCTGACATCAGACTTTACTAGATGGAGCAGTTATCTTCACTGATCTACATTTTTGGAACCCTCTGTAACTGGATATCTGACTCCATCACCCATGGATCATGCTTACTTTTCCCCTTTAGCTTCTTTATTTTGGAGTGTGGAGTGAACAATGACACAAATGCCACACAATGCAGAGAAACACATCCTTAAAGATGAACACATCTGCTTGCATGCAAACTATATGTCATTTGTGTTGTCGGTGTGAATTAACAAGACACAATTTTCACATATAAACCTGTCTTTGAACAACTATGTATAGGCTGTATTTTGCATGCCTGAGGAAAAGAACGGCATTCTTAAATGTCTGTGCTCTGCTGAGATGAGGATGAAATTCAATATTGCTAGATCTCAAAGAGGGGGAAATGACAAATCTGTTCATCGATCCTCAATTGCTTTTGTGAAACCATCAACTGAAACATAAAACACAATTCAGTGCAAAATGACTTTTGAATACAGATTCTTTAAAATCAGCGCATCTCCTGCAGTATAATTATGTTATACGGGAGAATCCCCTTCTTTGATGTCATTTTACAGAGCCTTCAACTTCTCAATTCAAACTCAACATGTCAAAAATCACCATCTTTCTGGAATGAGTGTTTCTCTTTAATGGGTAGCCTAAGGCCCCGAATCCAACCTGTCATGCATATGTTTAAGTTTGGCTTAAATTTTCTTTATTTTGGTTTTTAAATTAAATCACTTTCGATTAAGTGATTTTTAATGCATACCCCTTGTGCAAAGTGTTGCAACATAGCAATGGGCAGAACTCTGACAGCCCAAAGGCTACTTTCTTTCCTGATCTTTCTGAGCTGTGTCTCAGTAGGGGTGACCCTGTATGAATGAGTTCACTCTCAGCAACAGCAGAGCAGCGTGGTTAAACCTATACATTCTCAACGTGGGGCATGCCTCCCCCAAGGTAGTGACAATTGGTTTGGAGGGAGTAAGCAAAAATGTTCTATTCTTTTTACATATACAGTACAGATATGCATATGGCACATAAACAGGTACACAGTATATCTGTGTGTTAAAATGTCAGGTGAGGAGGAGCGTTTAGGGAGGAGGGGACTGTTTTAAAAGGCTCTTGGGATAGAGGAAATGCTAGTTTCAAACAAGTTGAGAAACACTGGTTTAACCATGCAAATGGGGAGCTTCTAAAATAATGACAAATGAGTGAAACCAAATTGTTTTTTTTTTTCCCACAGAACTGAGGGAGGGATCACAAAAGGGGCCACAATCGGGGTCCTCCTCGACTTAAATAGAAAAACCTTGACATTTTTTATCAACGACGAACAGCAAGGGCCCATAGCATTTGAGAATGTGGAGGGCATGTTCTTCCCGGCAGTCAGCCTGAACAGGAACGTGCAGGTAAGCACTGCGCCCCCAAGTGTAGGCGTGGCTTCAGAGGCTGCCTGTGGATGGGCAAATCCATCACTGAGAGAGGGAAGCTCACTGTTCAAGGTCCAGACCAAGACAGGCAGGAGAGGAGGAGGGGAAAGGATCAACATTGACAACCAACATGTTTCCGAACCAGCCTAAGCCCCTCGGTTGTACTTGGACACAGCCTAGTTAACAGCCAGTGGGAAATTGGAATTCTGTTCATGGTTTCCTAATGATTGTCCCCCTAAGCCCTGGTTTCATCTCTAGTAGATACGAAACTCTTGAACTAGCCCGCACAAGAACAAGGGACTTGCGCCATTCCTTGAGTGCCTAAGAAGGGAAGGTGTAAGACGGAAATTAGCGCCATTATCAGAAATTTCAAGCATCTTCTCTGCACTCTTATTCAATTCTGTGGGTACAGAAAACAGTCCCTGTCCAATAGTTAGCTGCTTCTGATTTATTGTGAATCGAAAAACAGCAGGTTCATCTCATTCATTCATTTAACAAATATCTATTTATCGCCCTTATTATGTAAGGCACTCTTATAAGTATTGTTTATCAGCAAAAACAAAACATAAAAATCTTGCCCCGCTAGAGCCCTGACTCTGTAGTTGTAGGAATCAGACAACAAACGGGCACAAATGCCACGCTAATTATATAGTGTGTTAGAAGGCAATAAATAAGTGAAAGGGAGGAAACCTTTCCTTGTGAGAGGCAACCCTTACCGAGAGTAGGGTAAGGGGGTTGAGAGTGCTGCGGGGGGGGGGGGGGGGGGGGGGGAAGGGTGTTGCTGTCTTAAACAGGGTGGTCAGTGTGGCTAGGCCTTATTGCAGTCACAGAGGAGCTACACTTCAAAGGGTGAGGGAGCGAGCTATGTGCAGCTTTCCAAGCAGAGGGAACAGCCAGAGCAAAGCTTCTCAGGCATCAGGGGCCTCACACAGGCAAGGAAGGGCCAAGATGCCATAGAAAGAAGTAAACGGGGGTGGGAGGTCAGTGGGAGAGACGACCAGAGCCCTGCAGGGAGGTCTGTGTCCTGCCAGCCCCTGTTGAAACTTGGGCTTTCGTTTCTTTCTTGAGCTGCAGCCCTCCTTGTCAGCTGTGAATCTCACTCAGCAAATGGCTACCTTAAGATACTTAAGGCTTGAGAATGAAAACACTGCAGGTGATTTTTGCTCTATTCAGAACCACAGTCCAGGGAGCTATTTTTAAAATCCATTGTTCTTTTCAATACATATAGTAAAAGTGAGAGCAACCCAGATGCCTCTGCCCTCCTCTCTTTGGCAACTACTTGGGGTTTTCAGGGAGGCTGAAATCTTATCTATCAAGTTCAGCCTCTACAATGGAAGAAAGAAAACCATAAAATACCATAGAAGTGAACCTTAGAAAAACCACATTCAAGTTTTCCACATTTTTAGCTGCTCCGAGTATCTTTTTTTAAGATTTTATTTATTTATTTTTAGACAGAGGAGAAGGGAAAGCGAAAGAGAGGGAGAGAAACATCAATGTGTGGTTGCCTCTCACAAGCCCCCTACTGGGGAGCTGGCCCACAACCCAGGCATGTGCCCTGACTGGGAATCAAACCCACGACCTTTTGGTTCACAGGCAACCACTCAATCCACTGAGCTGCACCAGCCAGTGTATAGACAAAGACTCTTGGGCTGGGGGAGATGGGGACAAAAACAGGAGAGATAACAGTACTACGTGAAATGGTTCTTGTCCATTGAGGTATGAGGTTGGACAGAATTCAGTGAAATAGTGTAAGTGCCCATGTTTCTTCATGCCTGGCAATCAGTATGCAATCCCCAAATAAAAGCTTTATCTTAACTGGAATAACTAGTGGACAAGTGATAAAGGAAGTGTTGTCTGCTCCTCTGTTCTCTAACCGTGGGTCTGGCAGAGATCACCACGATCTGGCCAACAGGCTTTGCTACTTACAGATCGATGCCTGGGTCTTCAGTCATAAGGAACACAAGGTCCACAGAATCTTAAAATGAGAACCATATCATCAGTATCTCCAGGGTTTGAGAGCCCACCATGATGGCCAGGTTCTGAGCACGGGCAGAATTCTACTAGAATTCTCTTTAACGGGTTCTGGAATAGATGTTAAAGAAAAGTGAGCAACTCCCTTTTGAAGTAGGAACACACCCACTGTGCCCAGGGGAGGAGGATGCAAGGTGGGGGGTGAGCCTGCGGTGCCTCCAGGACTCACAGTCTCTTCCCCCAGGTCACGCTTCACACCGGGCTTCCAGTCCCTGACTTCTACTCCAGCAGAGCATCCATAGCCTAAGGGTGTGCTGCGGAGGCACCAGCTGCCTGTTCTTACCTCCGCCTGAGAAGCAACAGCAAGAGGCTCGGCCAGAGCTTGGTGGGATGCCAGAGAGCTAGAAGGAGGGGGAGAAGAAGAAAAAAGCTGGTCCTCTACGGTCTTCACACCCTGCAGCTCTGCCCCTTTCCCTTCCAACCTCTCCATTGCTGTAATGCCTGCATACGCTTCCATCTTCTGCAGCTCCAACCAACAAAGGACCTAGCCAGCCCACCGTGTCACTTGTTTCCACTCTCAGATTTTGCCTTTATTTAACATGATTTTTATGTCAGTGAGTAATACTTCGTTTCCTTTCTGATCATGTTATTAGTGACAAATGGAACTGGCACTGCCAAGAAAAAAATTCTCCTGACAATTTTTTTCTTAAGCTTTGTGTCAGAGGTTGTAGGGAGAGAGGTAAGGAAGAATGAGGTAAATTTGGAGCCTGCAGTTTACCTCCTAGAATGCTCTCACCATGTTACCTCTCATGCAGGGTTAGCTCTGCATAGTGGGTCTCTGGGAGGCAGACACAGTGAGCGTAGCATTAAAAAGTGTTACCATCCATTGAAGCACAAAAATACAGCTAAACGTAGCTGCCCAAAGTTCACAGTGGGCAGGTCATTAGGATAGCTGGGTCATTAGGACAGGCCAGAAACCCTGGTCATTGAGTGAAATTGGAAAGTCTCTAGACATAAACAGACAAGGGGACTTACTAATTTGGTTCATGTATTTAAGAAAAGTTTTTAATTGAGAGCCTGCTGTAGACCAGCCACTCCTCTGGACACTGGTGCAGTCTCTGTCCTCCTGGAGCTTATATTCTCCTAGGAGAACAAACCCAAAATAAAAGAGTAACAAATTGTTATGAACTAGAAAGGAAATAAACGAGTGAGAGAGAGAAGTTCATTGGCAAGATCTTTTAAATCCCCTAGAATGATGCTAAAAAATCCACCTATTCTGGCCATAACACCAGAAACATAGCAACTCCATGTCTTTTCAGCTGTGCTATTTTAATTATGGTACCTGCTGGCATTCATCACAGAGCTCTTCATTAGTAGAAATGATGTCAGCATTCTTATTGGTTACCGCTGACACAATACTAAGCCTTAAAAATGAATGTGGAAAAACAACGGTGGCCAGAGGAAGGCGGACCCATCCTTAGTAATGGGAGATCTTAGGTTGCAGTCCACAGCATTCACATTCTCAGGATAAACACACTTGTCTCCACGTATACTCTCTGTGCCTGCTACAGATGGAAAATCCATCCACTCTGCTGCCATTTACAGCCCAGCTTTCTGGTGTAGTTCAAATAATGTTTGGGAGAAAATGATATTATAGGTCATTGCTATGAATGGTAGCAAACAATAATGCTTACTACTTCTATATAGTGATAGACTTACGTGGAAGTTACCCTTCAGACTCTTTAGTTTGACATGACATTTTAGAAAATGTAGGACCTGGAAAGAGGTTCTAAATTGTGGTCTAAATATTTGCCAATAAGCCAAGTAATTCTCCATGGCAGGGAGGCATGAAACAAGAATAACAAACAGAAGAAGTAGGATGCAAAAACTAACAAATTAAAGTTTGGCAAAAAGTAACATGTAAATAGCTAATGATTTACTTTTGTGTTTCCTTGATTTAGATTACTCCTATCCGTTCCCATTTTCCCAGTTATGTGTACCTAATTTATTGAATGGGTGCTATCCCGTTTACGTCTGTCCTGGTTTTTCTCGGCTACAGAAAAACTCTGTTGCAGGGCAACACTAGTTTGATATTTGATTTACTCCAACGAGACTCGATGGCTGGGCCGCTGTAGACTCATAGTTACTCCTGTTCTTTATGAGATTCATCTTGCTAATTAGATTTCCAGTGACTTGTAACATGTAGTTTACACAGAATCGCCATTATAGATGCATACAGCTGCTGTACTAGAAAAAAAATGGATCTTTCTGGTGTGCCAATAAAGGATTTTTATGAGAGAACATCATACGTCTCTTTAAAATATCTTGTTTTCCTGCCTATTTGGGAATGACAGGTCGCCTTTGTCAAAGTGACATCCCTTCAGTGAAGTGTAAATGGAAGGCCCCCCCGCCGAGCTCGTGAATTAAGTGCGTGTTATTCACCCCTTGCCCTGGAAGTACATAACTCCTCGGTCTTAACTTAGTATGAAACATAGTTGAGAGGCAGGTGGGGTCTGCCTACAACCACTGGGGACTAACTTTAACAAACCTGCTCCTAAAGAAGCCACAAACTTGTACTACAAAATAGAACTTTCAAACCTCATTCCTTGAACATTTCTTTGAATGTTTGTATGGCTAAATAATATGATTATGGTTTGTAAATTCAGATGACTGAACAATATGATTGCTTTTAAACAATCACAACGTTATTGATCTTCTTTACATTGTTAATACCCTCTTAAAATAAGCTGCCTTCGTTTATTATTAAAAGAAAAACATCACCTATGTGCTCCCATGTATAATGCACACCCATGTTTTTGGCCCAAACTTTCAGGAAAAAATTTCTTTCATTTTAATTTTTTAATTCAATTTATTTATTTATTTATTTATATTGAGATACTTGCTTTTTGTATTGTAAAGGAATTTTGAACATATTATGGTACAAGAAATTTTATGTAATGAATAATTATAAAACGCAAGAACAGATACAAGATATTTCAGGTACTACCAGTGTATAATGTGCATCCTCATTTTTCTCTAAAAAAAGTGGGCAAACGCTGCGCATTATACACGGCAAAATGCGGTGTGTGGTCTAGGTTATTACCGTACCTCAGAGTGGAGCACTAGACCGCTGGAAGAAGCTGCTGCCCTACCTCCACCCAGGTTTCTGCTCACTCCTCTCTCCCCATCACCCCCCCGCACACCCTAGTGCTTTTTTCTTCTTCCTCTGTTGGTCTCATCTCTCCTCTTTTTTCTCTCTTCTGTTCACTTCCAAATGGAACACTTTGGCTGTTTTTTACTATTCTCATGGCCCTAAGGATAACAGAACTTCTGACTCCTGGTATTTTCTCAAAGGAGTGATTAAGTGATTTATGAGAAATCATCCTATTTTCTGGAAATGAGATCATTTTTCTCTGCCTTTAATGTGTGCATTAATCTTTTTTTGCCCATCTATTCAACATACTGATAAGAAAGCAGGGCTTGCTGTTAAATCAGTATTTCTGATTATGAATCAAGGAAACTATAGTAATTACAGAAATTCATACTACCTTATAATTTATATGACTATGCTAAAAACATCTGAATATATTCTTCAAATGTATGTGCCAGTTACTTCCACTGAGTTCCTTGAGGAAGCTCAGGTCTGACATACATCACACAAAACTGAGTCTACCTAAATCTTGCTTTTATCTGAAGAACCAGCTTTTTGATTACACAGAATGTGTGGTATTGAATGAGAGTGAACAATGGAAGCACCTAATTAAATACACAATAACACCAGTCTGGCCCTTTGAATTTGTTATCTGCTCCACTCTGCCACAGCTGTGCTAAGAAAAGCTGCAGGTATAGAATTAGATATCACAGAATTAGAAAGTGGGGATGGGTGCATAACCTTGTGACTATAGTAAAAAATAAATCACTGAACTGTACACTTTCACAGGGCGAAGGGCCATGTTGAACATGACAAGGACTCTCCTTACAGCCTCCCTCACACCACACCTCTTAGCCTGTTCCTATTCTACCAAACCTGTCCTCTGGGGTAAAGCCCAAAGCAGAGGGGCAGGGGTGCTAAGGACCTGCCAGCTGACCTCCTGACCCTACCTTTTCTTTCCCTGCCCACCTTCCCTTGTCAGTGCAAGGATTTTGCCTCACTTCCACTTCCCTCTGGCGATGATTGTCTCTTCATTTCATTCTATACTTTTCTGACAGGGGCCTGAACCGTCCCCTTTCCTGAGGGCCATTGTGTTGGGCAAGGTAGAAAACCTGATAATTCAAAATAGCTCTTATATACTCCCTGTGGTTATGAATCTTGTCCCTATATTTTTTTTCTTCTCCCACCAGGTAGAAATAAATGCCATGAAATCTAAAAGGGATCATCATATTGTGGTTCATAATTTTACTTTCTTTCCCAATGTTTTTTTCTAAAATTCTCTAATATTTAATGAAGATAAAAATAATTTCACTAATAAGCATGGCTGAATGTTAAATTTTAATTACCTGTTTATCCACTTACAATCCACCTTTTGATGTATGACCATGATTTTTGATGCATGAAAAAGAAAACCATAAAGCTAAAGAAACCACCTTGAAGAGAAGAACTTCATGAAGATATAAACCAGTGTTTCTCAACCATGGCTAAAATTCTCTACTAAGGGCACTGTGTTCAATCATGTGTTTATGTTCTGCACGAGAAAGGGACACAAAAGAGATGAAGCAGGTAAAAGTGATTTGCACAATAAAGGTGAAAGACATGTTAAATGCAAGTGTAATTATTGCAGCCTCTACACTCTGCATATCGGCAGCCCTGAGAAGAGTAGTGTAGTGACTGAGAGCACAGTTTCAGGCCGTGGCTGAATTCTGGTCCTGGCTCCCAGAGGTGACAGCTTGTGCCCTGGGGCAAGCAATGAAAACTCAGGCACAGTTTCCACATCTCTAAATTGGAGAGAAAATAGAACTGTTTTGAGGGTTAAATCAAATAGCACGTGTGAAACACTCCGAACAGTGCCCGGCCCCTAATGAGTACCATGGTATTTTATGTGCATGCAACCTGTCGGTGGTACCAGTTCCATCCCCTCCCTTCTTTACTACTAAGATCCCAGCTGAGCATCGATGATGATGCTCACCATCATCTCGGGAGACAAGGTGTATTGGGGAACTTGACAAAATGTTCTTTAAATTCTTCTGCAAACATTAATGAAAGAATGTTGGCAGGGAGATTCTGAGAAAATGTAGTAACTTGACTTGTAGGACACATTAAACTATTTCAAAGCCACAATAATCAACATGGTGTACATATTACTAAAATTAACAACAAGATAACTTAGAAATAGAGATTTCAGCAGATGTTGAATAAAGAATCATAAGGGAGGAAATGAAAATTATTCAAAAGTGCTGAAAAATATTATTTGAGAATTGGTTAACTATTTGGAAAGGAAAACTATATCCTTAATCATATCATTTTCCAGATGTTAAAGTGTTAAATATAAAATATTTAACACTTTAATAAATCAGAAAAGAATGTAAATATTCATCTGATCTTCTGAAGGAGGCTCACATCACTGTAAATTACTTCATGCAGTCAGCGTATCTGTTTTATGTCTTCTCTCCAACTTATATTTCACATTATAAACTCTTCTTTGTTACCCTTGCCTGTATAAGTTATCTGTTTTCTTCTTTAGTTCCCTGGACCTGCCTTTATCCTGTCTAAACCCACTTATGGTACTGTAGATTTATTGAATGTATTGATTCATTGTTATGCTGCCATTTAACAAACTACTCTTAAGGGAAGATTGAGGTATTAAGTATAAACTACTCTGCACTCTGTTTTTGGACTGTATTTTCAACCTACCAGTTAATGAGTTTATAATGAACAAGTCCTCTGAGGTAAATGAGGACCCTAGTGGTTCCTTCTGTAATGCTAATTTGCACATGTGACCTGTGAAAAGACCACTCCACTCAATATATTTTCCTAATTGACTGGTGGGCTGTGTGACTGTCAGATCTGAAGAAATGTCTCCAGTCTCACTGGTTGGGCAGGCTTCAAACGATGAGCAGTTGAGGGTTAATTGCAGTCTCTCAGAGGTTGGTTTCATGGTTGGCAATACCTCAGGGTTGGCAGAACATGCAAATCTTAACTCTCTAGATATAGTGGTGCACTCAGACCTGATATATCTGCAGAAAAAATTATAAATATCTATCAGGAAAAAAATCAATCTTAGAAACTTCTGAAGATCTCACAAAACTTCATGCCACTATTTGCCACTATTAAATTCCCTGTCTTCAAGATTTCAGCTAAGACCCAGAATTACGATGCAGTGCAGTTACCACCTACATACACATATTGTGTGTAAGCTCATTCACTGTCGACCACCAAGTTGAGGGGACACTTGATGTTAAGAGAATCTGCACATCTGCTCTCCATGCCTTGGGAACAGACAGAGAGAGAATCTCAGTGGAACAGAGGAAGCACTGAGGGCCAGTCCAAGGGCAATGGGGATGTCAAATCAGGGGCTCAAAGGAAACAAGAGAGAACAAGACACAGGAGCAGGCTCGGTAACAATGATATTGAAATGCATCTCACACACACTTCTTTTCCTTTAGAAGTGTGTCTCAGGCTTCATCTGTAAGCTTCTTGCAGGTGTTTGGCAGTAACTAAAGGAAACAATAGTCACTGAGGCACATTCCTAGTAGAAACTTTTTCAAAGACACTCTAAAAGAGGACAACTAAAGGAGCATCATTCTTCTACAAAATGGGTCTGACCCAATATGATATTTTTCATGTTCTGAATCTTCCTGGGGGCTAGATTAATAATAACTATAATAATAATACCCTATTTTCTCACTTCACAGATGCAAAAGTTGTTTTGTGTTTTGATTTTTTTCACTATTTATCATCCCTGCAATGAAGATACATCTTACATGTGTCAAAAGATACATCTTACATATGCCAAAAGCAAAGTGATGGTTCTCAACCTCCCCTGCATATTGAAATCACCTGGAGAACTTTAAAAATGCTGGCACCAGGCTACTAATTTAATTGGTCTGGGATGCAGCCTGAGAATGTGGGATTTTTAAGTTCCCCGGTGACTCCAACCTGCAGCCAATGATAAGGATGAGGATGTAGAGGTAAGGACTGAGGGGGTGGGGGGCACGCAGTCAGACAGTGTTATTGCCTGCACATTCGGGAAGTTCATAGGATGCAGGGCTGGGGAAGAAGTAGTTCATCAGTGTGTTACTTCCGTGATGTATTTTCATTGGTAGCTGATTGATTTAAATTCACATCATGATTGTCAC